TTATTATAGAGGACGTTAGTGATCATCATTTATTTTCTTCATTCTTTATAGATAATCAAATTCGATTACAAATGAAAATTTTCAATGAACAAGTGTATGAAAGCAATCTGTGACAAGAAAAAAAAATACACTTACACTTCTGTATTTAACTTCTTCGTTTTTCTTTCTAAACACAATCGAGAATATTTACACTTGATGTAGGAGTATTCTGAGGCTGCCTGGATTGGGGGGAAGGGGCAGTCGATGACTCAGGAGACCGATCAGAAGGTTCTTTTGCTAAAATTGACCAGATTTGGGTGAGGGGATTATGCGAGGTTTTTGGAATTGTTAAGCAAAGAACGCAATAAAACGCTGGAACTCCGCTGGAGAAAACGACGATTTTCACGATTGCGAGGTCATTTTCTTCACTCTTCTGAAGTTATATAATAGACATTGCGAAAAACGATATTCAATGCATGTACACTTAAATTTAATAGATTTTCCACACAATCACTGCTAATATCATAATAATTATATCTGTGAGAAAAATATATAACTAAAGACTAAACAAAGATAATGTGTTAATCAATAATATCTATAAAAGTATAACAAAGTAAAAGGTAAGAAAAATATTGAGATGATAACTAAAATGTGTAAACATTTATTTCAAATATTCATGTCAAATATTGTTCAATTATTGAGATGGATGTGTGAAAATATTGTTGCCGAATGACAAAGTCAAAAGAAATGATAGGAACTTGGAAGCAGAAATTCGCTGACCAATTTTTTTCTAGTTCCAATCTTAATCGACTACAATCGGGTAATTTCATCAAAATCTTGAATTAGAGCATACTTGACTGTAATTATCAAAACAAATTAGATATTTATTAATTTTTTCTAAATTCTTCAAGTATTATCGCAAGATAATCATTACATTAAAAACACTTTAATCGTAAATTTATATGTTACAGAATTTATTTCAAATGATTGACAATAAAAGAAAATATATCACAAATATATGTCTTAATATAATGAAAGAACGAATATTATTTTTTTGTTATTATTTTGCCATGGATTTTCCAGCTGATAACAACCGACAGTAATATTTTTAAGTTTAATATCATAAACTTTTGAGTATGAACTTATGTAGTTTGATGGTGATCAATTCATTGATTCATTTCGAAAGGGTAATATAGAGTATGGCGATATGAATTGAAATTATATATTTTGCTTAATCGTGTACTATATTGATATTATTTAGAAGGATATAGCATTTCATGACTAGATAACTTTTATTTGATGCAACAAAAAAAGTCAAAATTTATCTAATCTTAGTTCTGATTAGCAGATAAGATGTCACCATCTATAAGCAACTCTTACTTTACAAAGAAGCAACAAAGTCTTTACATTTTTTTTTGTTTCTTCAGATATTGGATTGAAAACTACTATTCGTTCAAATAGTCAATGAGCTTGGTCGTATCTCAAACAACTCAGGTATAGAAATAGTTGGCACTTTGCGTCTTTGAGTATTTGGAGGAGGACGGATAACGTGATCAAAGCATGTATATAATGCAGTGCCAATACATAACAAAAAAAAAGTGAAACATTTCTTCTCGAAAGATTTATTGTTATAAGCTGCATTCTTTTGAGTTCAGTAGAAATCTTTCTAAAATTTAATGTTTTTTTTGAAATAATAGAAGTTCTTTTTCTTTTGCTTACGTTAACTAATCAGTTGTCAATCAAATAGATTATTGAATCAGTAACAAAAATCTATCTGCAATACGTAAATATTTCTTGACATAATGACATTTACGAAGTATTTTCTTTAGAGATCAGACTCTAAACTTTCAGGCTAATATTTGAAATCGGGTCAAGTTCATTCTGTTAGATTTTGATTGAATCTCTGCAACTATTCAAGGATTTCGTACAACTGTTAACATAATGAAAATTGAGGCAATACTATGAATAAAAGCAATGGCGGATATAAACAGTATCGAGAGATACTTCAGGCATCATCTTAGAATATCGCCGATAGCTTCACTCATCGAAGCAAAGATCACTGAAATGCAAATTTTCACATTTCGGCAATTTTTATTTCGGTAATATGACTTTTGACGAAATTCATTTTAATCTTTCTACTATATGTGGCAAGTATTGCGTGTAGCATTCTTCAAAGAAAATTTCGTTTAACTAGTTTTGATTTGAACACAATATTGAGACCTTTTTTTATTCTAGAGAAGAAACCTGTGGTGAAAGAAATGCTTTTGAAGAATGGACACGATTTATTGACTGCGTAATTGTAAGAAATGTTCTCAGCGCAATGCTTCAATAGGGGTTGAAATTTTCCAACTGTTTTGTTTTTCTTGCTCTCTTGAACGAAAGTTTTATTCGTCAGTCTATTTTTGAATATTTCATCATGTTATGATATACATATATATATATATATATATATATATGTAGAAAGAGCGACCATTTATTGAAAGTTAGACGATGATCAAACGAACATGTAGATAAGTAAGTTCTTTCATATCATGTTTTCTTCGACTGAATCAGGTTAAAGGTTCATCACTTAACAGTGCATTCAACATAATTACTACCGATGTATCATGATGATCCAAGAGCAACAGATAGCTGAAAATGAAAGGTGTCAAAAACTGATGTGCGATTAAGTAAAGATCTTCAAATGAAAAGCTCAGACAAATACATGATGGCAACTTTCTTCATGAAAACTTGCTCTAGTGAAAGTAATTATCAAACGAGCACTCAAAAACTGGTAACGCTAAAAGATGCTGCGAGAACTCATGAGTACTTTTGGTTTTTCAGTGAAAATAAATAACTAAAAACACAGACAGACATAATGAGAATTTGCTAAAATAATGAATATGAGAAGTATTACTATCATTCTATTTTTACACTATTTTATATCAAATAATAGGTCCAGGAAAATCTTCATCGTTATAGAAGAGCGTGAAGTATTTCTTGATTTTTATTTAATGAAAAGAAGATTTCGTTTATTTCCTTAAGAGATCAAAGAGATGAAAAAAATTTAAAAAAACGAAAGAATTCATTTTTAAGAGGATATATAAAGGACAGAGACTTGTGCAGCTGCATGACCACTATTTTCGTATAATGAGCAATCATTTTTGTCTTACAGTTTTACATGTAGTGTATATTTTTCAAATTGTTATTCTTTTCTTTCACTTTTTTTCTAAAATAAATAAAATCTTACTTTTGTGATACAAAAATAAAGAAATATTCAAGTTTTTCCATTGAAAACGAGTATTCCTTTACGTCTATTCCATAAAGTTAGAGTAAACCAAAATATATGATGAAAAAAAATAATGCAATATAAATTATTCTCTTGAACAAAGTCTCATTAGAATTAAAAATACATCGTTGATTATTATGCAAAAACACAAATAAACATTTTTTAATTCATAACTCACAGTAGTAGTTTAGTAATATATAGAGAGAAATACAAGAAATAAAATTATACGTCTATAGTGTTATTTAGATGTCCGCATGATTTTAAAATGTACTTGACTTGTACAATGCGTTGTGAGTTCGTTTTCGTTTCATTGCATTTCACAGTTATTATGAAAACTTGTAGTTTTTTCTTTAAATTTAGAAAATCAAATTTCAACGAATCTCTATCAACATAATTAAATAAATATTGAATTTCATCAGGGAAGTTACTAATTTAAAATGAAACGTCGTTTTTCTTTTTTTTTTCAAGTCACTATTCAATGAAACCGTATAAATGTCTCATTAGGAAATAATAGAGGATAAACTAAATAAGTCGATAAAATAGTTTCTTTCTCTATTGTTTGTTGTATTATATGTCATTTTACTTTATAACATAAATTCAATCTAAATTTGTTGATGCAAGGGCATAAATATTTTGCTAAATATTCTGTAAAAGAACGAATTTGAGTAAAATCCTGGAAATTCAATATCATACTAAGGTTTTTTTTGTACATGTTTGAAAAAGGATATGTCAAATGCTGTAAATATACTAATTTTTCATTTTTCTCGAAATAGTCTTGATGGAAAAACATTTGGAATAATGACGACATATCCTATTTTGGGGTGAAATGAGTCAATTTCGAAAACTACCCTTTATTTTTTATTTTTTATTATTTTTAATTTTCCAAACTTATTTTTTCTTATTTACTGACCGTAGCTTCTCAAAAGAGATACTTTTTAATTAAAAGGCGAACTATTTTAAAATATTTAGTAGCTATTTGTTTCTTTTAAGGTGGCCCCCTCTCAGAAACGAACTTTGTTATTTTCTCATCCGATTTCAACGAAAATTTTAGAGAATGTTAGTCTTGGCTAGAATAGATTATGGTTAAGATATCTCCCACAAATCTCAAAGATATGCACAAGTTCTAGTCAATTCATTACCCGTTACACGGGCAAGGATTTCATAATGGGGACACTAGCTAATCATGTCGGGGTGGTTTTTAAATTGTAGAGCATCCTTAGGGCTAGGACTTAACAGGCTGCGATTTTTCAATTTCCCTTTATTTGATTTTCAGAAAATCGTTTTTCGGAAAATTGTCAAATTCAAAGCGCTAATACAAATGAAATATCCAAGTTTTCTATTTGAGCAAAAGAGAAATTTAAAAATCGGAGTCTGTTAAGTCCTAGCCCTAACTGTCCTCTATTCAACAAAAAGAAAATTACCCCCTCTCTATTGAGTCATTATTAAAAGAAAACCTTGCCCGCGTAAACGGTATACTCGAAAAAATTGATTTTGAGAAAAACGAAAAACAAATTTAGAAATGAATTTTTTTATTCAAGCTCAAAAAAACAACATATGAAAAAAAGCATATTTTCAGAATTTTGTCGATTTTTAAAACAAAAAGTGCAACTATAAAATAAGTGGCATTATACAAATTGTAGAGCTTTTCACGCTGCATCTTCTGATATATTTTCTTTTTTTTAATACAATGTATTAAAATAGAAAAGTAATGTTTTTCCGTTTTTGAAAGACTTCCGAAAATGTCTCGAAAAACATGATAGTAGGTCCCCAATCTCCTTTGGTAAGTTTATTAAAACCTGGCCTTTTTGACAAAAAAAAGGCATATATTTTCTGAAAGATGAGGCTTCGGCGCATCTTCCCTATGAGAAAATCTCAACTTCGAGTTTTCTTCGAAAAAATAGGTTTGCTCTGAGGGGACCCCCTTAAATAGCTACTAACTTCTTTTAAATAGCTATTTAAAACTTACTGTAGATTTGGTTTTTTCCTAATCTTACTGTTTAAAATTTTGAACTTCCAATGTATCGTTTTGAAACTTGGGAATAGCCATTTGAAAGAAGCGTCAAATAGAAACTAAAACACTTAATACAGTTGCTCATCACTTCAATGATAAAACTGAAAAACCATACGTTTCCAACTATGAGAACACGAATAATAACTACACACTACTTCAAGCTCTGCTCGAAAAGAATCAGTAATATTTAAGTAACTACTCGTCCGAAAATGATAACAAGATTTAAATAGCTATCCGTTTTCATTGAATAGTGCTGGCGCTTAAATGGCTACTTGTCAGATAATAATGAATAGATTAAATAGCTATGGCGATTCATTAAATAGTGCTGGCGCTGTTTAAATAGCTGTAGCTATTTAAAAGTCGAGAAAGAAAAGATTAAATAACTAAGAGAAGTTTAAATAGCTATGCATATGCAATAAATAGGGCTTAAAATAAAGTAGCTGTACTTCATGACAGTATCACTTATCGATAAAAGAATATTCAAGGAAGTATCTTAAAGTGAATTTTTCATAGCATTCGAGGGCTAACACAAATTGTATCTCTTTTGAGAATGAGCCGTTTACCAGTTTGCATACTCTGCTTTAATAATACCTGAGAATCAATCTGAGATGTGTCTGGTATAGTACTTGGTGAAGCATCATCAACTTCATCAGCGACGCAAGCTCAATTTTTTAGGAAGGCGATAAACTTTGAAGCAATACTATAGTAAATTTCTTTCCCNCATGAGACCTACATATGGGCAAAATTTCAAGACATAATTTCGTCATTTGAATTTTTTGTAAATACCTTGTCATAGGCCGAAAAATCAGTAAAATGGCCATAACCCTCGAAAGAAGCAACATGGGCCTAAATCCTCTTAGGCTTTTTCTTAGCATACTGACCCCTACATATGGGCAAAATATAAGCAAAATCGGCGTGAATCACTTGAAACGGTTCCCTCGTCAGATCGCACTTTTTCTGATGAAAATCTACCAAATAAAACTAGTCAGAACGGCATGAAATCATGTATCAAAAAAAGTATCCATAAAATTTTTCTTAGAGACATGATTTTTTCTTGATATTTTTTTTTAATCATTTTGTAGCGATATCGAGTCTCATGAAAGCTAGCCAATAGGGTTATCAAACAGATACATAAAAACATCTGAATTAAGTTTTCATATGACAGTCATTGATTATTTCACGCGTTTTGAGTGCAGCACAAACAAATGCTATGGAGCTAATTCCACCAAAAATTACTTTTGAATGCCTTGTATGAGAGTTTAACATAGGAAAATGAAATTTCTCTAGGGAGTTGATTTAATCATTTATTCATCATCCTTCTTTTAAAAACTATTTTTCGTCATTCTCGTATAATATTTCATGTTAACATTTTACCCGCTATAGCAAGTCCGGAAGAGCTATTGATTAAATAATTTTCTAACTTTGAACACAAAATAAGCGAGACGAATTCGGAATCGAAATTGAAAAATTGGTTTCGTTGATATACGAGTATTTGATTCCTTTTATCAGAATTCTTCCTTAGTCTTGAGCGAAAACCAAAATTTATTTTTAATCTATTACGAAAAAAAAACGATGGTCTTCATTGACTCTGTGAAATCAATCATGTTTTGAATTAATTAAATTGTTAATTTAGACTCCAAAACGTCCTGCATCAGATGATTTAACGGAATTGCTTGATGATACACCACGTCGTAAATTAATAAAAACGAATCAACATAAGGAGAATAATACAACATCTTCTATAACGAATGAACTTGAACTTGCTCTAGTTCCTTCAATGAATAATGAAGAAGGTGATCAAGAATTTTCACCATTAACTCAACAAACACAAAAAATATCAACATTCGATGACGATTTAGCACGAAAAGTTGAGCAATGTTTTCGTGATCATACTAAAGAACAACAAACTGATGCTGAAATAATGCAAATCGATGAATCAAATCAAACAAATAATCAGCATAATAATAGGCGAAAATCTTCTACACGTCGTCGTTCTCGTTTTCGATTTTCATTTTCAACAAATCATAATTCATCTGAACAAGAAGAAGAAGATGAAATAAATTCCAAAAGAAAATCTCGTTTATTTCGAACGCATTCAGCTTCGATAATAAATCATGAAAATGAAAATAATATTGATTCATCACGACGACGAAAATCTTATAGTACTACTGGATTAGCAAATGAACTTAAAAATATTCCTAATAATAATAATAACAATGAACAAACAACAAATGTTGATAAAGTATTATTTTATTTAAAATAAAAACAAAATTTATTTTTCTTCAATATTTAGAAATCAACAAAAACAAAATCATCATTAGCTAATCGTGTGAAACGAGCGTTTTTCCGTCCACATCGTAGTCCAGTAACATCGTCATAATAATTTCTTAATTCTTCTGTATATCCGCAAAATCAAAAAAAATTGTTTGTCTGATGAAATTATCCGACATAGTCAAATATTTTTGTTCGTCTTAATCTCTCAGGAATTGTAGCTTCAATGAAGATAGATATTGCATATATATATATATATATATATACATATAGTATTATTTGTTCTATTTTCTATTGTTTATTATGTATACAGTAGTAGTTAATCATAGAAATTTATATAATATCAATTGTTTTCGTTTTTGTATTATTGAATAACATGAAATGTAAAACGAAAGTATTTGTTTTTTTTCCATGAATTTCTAGATAAAAATTTATTAACAAGATTTTTAATTTATCTATAACATATGGCTCATTGCCGAAGTAGATTTATTCAATATTGAATTCTCTCCACAACGTCGTAATTGTTACTTGAATAATCTTTTTTTTTTTTTGTTTTCTTCGTATTTTGAAAAGGTAAAACAAAATCTGAACTGAATATTGGTCTTCTTCTAGTGTTTAGCCGCTAAAAAAAAGTAAAGATCATCATTAGTAGCCGAGCCAGAAGAAACATGTAGATGAAGCTTATTCCTCGTTTAAAGCTGAAAATGAGGTATATACTCTAACAATATAGGAATGTCATACTTCTCGAGGGGGCTGAATCAACTGTATGTTTCAGCTATCTGTTATGAAGATTCGCCAACCTTCTAAAGAATTTTAGTCATTTTACTCTCAACATCAGTGTAGAAAAAAGACTATCTATTGATCTTTCAAGACTCGTAACTCAATGATAGTTCAATATATCAACCTGAAAGTTTTACAGAAGCTTTCGTTATATCTGGACATTATTTTCTGCAAGTTTTGGAAATAAATCTTATACCAAAGGGTAAAATTATGAAGCTGATAGTAAAAATAGATTCCGTCTATCAAAACTTGCTTTCTATTTGACAAAAGCAAAATCCATTGAATCTCATGTATTATGAAGCACAGACAAATTTTCAGGTCTCTATCCCTTATGATGAGTGACAAGGGACTCTCGTCAACTTATACACTTAGTTCGAGATCATTTTTTTACTCTTATGTAGGTAGGACTCATAGTGTTGATAATAGTCCTAAAAGTATTTTTCTTCTTAGGTCTTCGTTCTTGGTTTATGACCATTTTACTGAATTTTTGAGTCTATTGCAGGATATTATGAGTAAAACCAAATCGAAGAGTGTCTATCTAAAAGAATGCTTAACAAATCGAGTTTTTTCGGATATTTTGTGAGAAAAAGTCATTTTTGCACACTTATTATCTCTGTGACAAAACATTCATTTTGACTGAAATTTGCAAGATATTATAAAAGGCATGAGGTCTATTTTCGAGCAAAAATTCTTCAATAGGCTGGAAATTTAGTAAAATGATCATAACTCGAGAGCAACTGCTTGCATCAGTTGGTGAAGTTTCTTCGACCGATTTGATGAAACGAAAGACTTGTTCACGTGTGTCATAGGAGTATTCATTGGGCTTATTTGTCGATCATTCGCTTGATATTGCAGTTCACAATTTTGATTTTATCATAATTTTTCAATAACAAAAACAGAATATGACATTCAAGTTTCAAATAATGATGTTTAATGGAAAATGAAATTATTTATTGAATGAATCTACTTTGAGTACTTAACACTATTGTTGATATTCAAAAAATGCAAAGTTATGGAAAAAAAACTTTGCATTTTTTATGTAAATGAATAGTTTGCTTTAATTGCCAGCTTGATATTGTAGATGTGGAATGTTCATTCAAGATTTTTAGCACGAACAGTTTGGGTTCGTAATGGTGAAGTAGATTTAGCTTATCGATCTTTAAATCGGTAAGTATATTAATTTGAAAGAAGCATTAGAAAAAGACTTTTTCTTTTAGAGTTTTAAATAATGAAGAAGTATTTAAAACAGCTCGTTTGTGGGAGCGATACGAAAAACCATTTCGTAAACGTGGTCGACTTTGTTATGAAAAGTACATTAGGATTTATTTATTCAAATGAATTCTTTTTGTTTTTCTTTTAGAGCACATGAAATTTATAATAACGAAATGGAACGAAAAATTAAATTTCTAATGCGTAAAAATCGAGTTAATCCATGGCCATGGAATTAATAAAAAAAAAAGAAATTTTCACCAAGTTTTTTTTTCCCCTTTTCTTTTTTTGTCAATTCGATTTCTATCTCTTTTGTTTATTTTTCATTTTGTTAGTCATAATTGTTTCTATAAGAATAAAAGTTTCTTGTAGATAAAATATATACACATTCAACGATGGGTTTTTTTCAAGGAATCAAAGGTAAAATATTGATTATTTAAAAAACCTTTATCTAAAGAATTTGATTTTTTTTTCTAGGGCAAGTATATTTTTTTTATTGATGCAGTATATATACAAGGCCAGTCAAAACTGTAGAATTGCTTGTTCGAATAGAGCTGTTTGATGAGTTTTGACTATTTCAGTTGTCTTATGTGAAGACATATATTGAGATGTATATTATCTGAATGTGAAATTGTATTTACTTGATAGCGCTTTCAGTTAGCAGGACACAGATGATTATCAAGATCTGTCGATTTTTACCTTGTGAAAATTATGGAATTCACATAGCTTTTTTCTCATGTTTTCCGAATGTGACAATGATACGTAGCGGATCTGATTCTGAACATTTTCATGAGACACGCTTTTAAAATTGATTTATGTTTGATTCAATAATCAAACTGCAGTTAGTACTATTGAAATCGAAGCATGACTACTTTTTGAATAGCGGATTCAAATAGAAACTGATACCTACACATCTCTAGTAGATACTGTTGCAAAAGTTGTTAACCACAACAAAACTTCTCGAGCGTAATATAACAGAACGTATAAGAGTGCTTCGTGTTCGTTAAGAGCTGACTTGGATGCTATATATTGTGATACGATAACTGTCTTTCTAATGAAATGAGACACGAAACTTTCCGACATCTTATTTGATGTACTTTCTATTGGAATCCGCTGTTCAAAAAGTAGTTCCAGTTCGATTTCAATAATAATAACTGAAATAACCACGTTTTATATAAATGTCCAGAAGCAGGTCTTCTATTTATTAATGTCACTTTTGAACTAGACTAATATCGCATTTGAAAAAAATATGAGAAAAATGTAATATCGAGTCTATTATACATGCGAGACAACAATCAATAGATCTTAACAATCATGTGTTTGCTATAGTCTGACAGCTCTATCAAGTAAATCTGATTTCGTAATCAGACAGACACATTTCAATACATGCGTATCTTTACATAATTTTTTCTTGGTGTACGAGAATTGAAATGGTCAATTCTCATCAAACAGTTCTATTTGAACAAGCGGTTCTATAAATTTGTCAAGTACTGTATATTTATTATTGCTGCTCTGTGTAGTGTTGTTCTTCTGGCTTTTCTGGCTTCAATTGGTCTTACATTACTCATCTTAGGTTGTGCATTGTCTCAATAGTATGTATTTATTTTATTGTTGTTTTCTTTTAAATAAGATTTTGTTTTGAAGTAATTGGTGGCCAACATTTGTCATTATATTTTATGTTCTTTCTCCGATTCCAATAGCCATTGGACGTCGATGTACATCCGATGGTGGCTATAGTATGCGGGATTCAAGTCCATGTACAGATTTAATGTGGTTTATAACAAGTGTTATTGTTGTTTCGGCATTCGGTTTGCCAGCAGTTATGTATCATGCAACTGTTGTATGTGAATTTAATTTTTTTTTAATTTTAATTTAAATTATTTTTTGTTTTGAATTTAGATTCAAGTTGGTTCAATGGCTTTTATAATGTCAGCTAATGTAGTTATATTTACAACGATTACAATTTATTTCATGTCGTTTGGATCTGATGATAGTTTACCTAACTTTTAAACAAATACGAATCTATAATTTAAAAAACAGGACATGTAAACGTTTTTGTACAAGTGTGTCATTCGCTTTTCTCATTGTATTGTCAGCTTTATTGTATTTTACTAAGTTTGATGAATAGCACTTTTTTTCTCAGAATAAAAAAATCTCTATTAAGGATGTTTTCATCGTCGTACATGTGTATCTTTATTAAATAAATATACGAAAATATATGTTAATTATATATTATTTGAAAGCTTATAAGAAATAAAACTTATTGATTTGCATATATTTTCTATTATCAAATAAATCTGTTCTTATTCAAGTATACTTAAATCAAAAGTAAATGTCTTCGAAAAAAAATTAATCTCTACATTAACCTATGTTAGAAAATATTACTATTAGTGTCCATAAGAATCAACGTTTTGAACTTTTCACATTAGTTGTCATCATCAGATCAAATATAAATAGGGCTTGGCATGTCATTATCTCAATTCATTAAAAACCCATTAGATATCTTTATCTTTGTTGTCATCGTCAATATCTATGTAAGAATTTTTGTTTCGTTTGAGAGTGTATAAATGTTAAAAGAATTGAAATAAATAAAGCTAGATTATTTTCTCATATATTAACAATAGTTTGAATGAAATTATGCAAGAAGTTTATTGTTCATGTTTAATTCATTATGATTTTTTAATTAGCATTTAGTCGATATGCATTTCTTATATAAATAATTTGAATATTCAACTTATTATATTCTACTACATTCGATTAATATCAACTTCTTTTTGAGCCTATTCATTTGATGAGATATAAAAAAATGAATCGAATTGCATTCATTGTTGAATTTGAATTAATCTGAAAAACAAAGATATTTGAGAGATTGAATCAATGAAATCTATAATGACAAGTTTTATTTGTTAGTTGTTATTTAATTACAAGCATTTATCAAAAAATAACACACAATAGTGGAGTCTCTACTGATTCAATGCTAGTCTCGATTAATGTTTTTTTTTCACTCTTATGAATGTTAAGTGAACAAGCATAAAGTAATTTACCTTTCGTCTTGTTCTTTTCTCTATGTTGTAGTAATATTGACGAATCAAAGTTCTTTTCTTTTTCATCTATTGTTTATTCTGTATTCCTTATGAATATATATATATAAGACAAGAGAATAAGTAAAATCTGTTATCGTATTTATGACCTTTGAAAATTGTTTCGAGTATTCAGATATAAGCATTTGTCGACTAGTTCATTCATAATGCAGAATAGTTTCATTGATGGTCATATTCGACATGAATTTCGATCTATTTTAAATATTCTTATTCATTTTTCATTTTCAATTACACAATTAGTAAGTGTATTTGCTATATTAGGTTTACAAATAGCATTAACTGTTACTCAAACATGTGCATATCAGTTTGGTATTGGTTTTTGGTCATTTCCTTTCTTAATTATTTCTCCGTTAAGTATTTGGTTGGTTATTTGGCGACGTAGTTTAGCGAGTTGTCTTATTGCTATGATTATTCATTTTTGTTCAACTCTTTTTGCAACAGCTATAATTATTCTTAGTTTTCTTGTGCTAATTGGTCAAATTGGATTTACATGTTCTACATCTTCGTTAAATTCATATTATGTTGTACTAAATAGTTCATTAATTGGTATTAGTGGTTTCTTTAAATTGTTTAATTATGGTGAAATTATTTTACTTTATATGCTTATTCGAAATCATGATAAAATATCAACAACACATATTAATGAATTTTTTCGAAGAGATTATCCATTTACGTCAGATCCTGTCTGTGTCAATACATGGCGTTCATGGTCAGAAGTTAATAGTGAAACTCGCAGTAACTCAGATGTTTTATTTGTTTGAAAAAAAAGGATAAATAAACTGTTATTTAATTATGTAAACATAGGTTTTTAAAAAAATAAAAAGCTTTTTTTGTCTTTTGAAGTACTAATAACTGAGATTTTGTTATCGAAATAAATCTCTAATAGTGAGTAAAAGACATTAAGTAAAATAAATCGAATATTTCTTATTAATTTTTTTGTTGAGCCTTGGATTGATCGAACTGTCTCTTGTCTTGTTAGTTTACCTCTTTCGTTTAACAAACTTCACTAGAGACAATGACTGTTGAACATATAAAGAAGTAACTACTATGCACAATAAGTACGAAACTTCGCTTTAGTTTTATCAGTTTTCGAATTTAAATATCAGTTGAGTGTATAGATTTATTTTAATATTTTAGTGGTATTATCCATTTCTGTTTTTTTTTATCTTGAATCGATCGCATTGATCAACTTCTACTTCAATGTGAAATTCATGAAATTACAGAACTAATTTTATGGGTCTTGTCTTATTTTTGGTCCACCTCTGATATTGAATTATATCAACCTGTAGAAAGACATTAATCGTCAACCTTATACTGTGGAGTTAAAGCGAAATATATTCTTGTATTTCTCAGTGTTAAATAAAGAAATTATTGAGAATTGAATATTATTCGAATGAACAATTAAATTTACTAATTACTTCTTCGAGTCATTAAATTTCTAACGTGCTCGATCGCTTATATTGAAAAACAACTTATAAATTTAAGCAGATGACAACTAATGAAGTGGTTACTATTTGAAAACAAGAAAACTCAAAACAATGCATTTCGTGTTGTGGAAATTCATGCACAAAGGAACATTAATATTAAGCATATATGAGGAGACGAATGACAATAAAAGTGTAGATGTCCTCTAACTTGCCAATGGTATTGTTAAAAAATTATTTGAATAGTTTTATTAAATAAACAGTTTCTTAACGCTGTCCCTTTTTACTAGATGTATGCTGTTCATTGTCTAGAGCCTGTCATTATTAAGTATTCGAAATTCAGATCTTTGTCGTAATATGAAAATTGAATATTTTTAATTAGAGCGTATGATGACGAATTCGATTTTTCAGATGATTATCATCGATAAACTACGATTAATATTTTATACTAATACGAAGAGTAAGTTATTTTAAGTTTGACATGCAACGGAAAAACAATAACATTCGAGGATAATATCCATTCGTAAAATTGACGCAAGCTAACAAGAATAGTGTGAAATGTTCTTGAAAAAACATCAAGACTAACATCTAAATACATATTTTCTTTTCAGAAAGATTTTTACGTCTTGTGTTATCAATGCTTGATGAAGATGCATTCATATGATTAATATTAGGAATAAGTTCATATGTACATATATATGATTTAAACGTCCTTCAAATAGACAAACAAAATCATCCAAAGTAGTCACTATAATGGTGAAACAGAGCTGATTCAAAAGTATACAACTACTAATTGATCATTTTGAGAGTGAAAGCCATATACAGTCTTTATTGTTAGAATCTTTAAAATCTAAAAATTCTAATACATAGAACATAACCAATAGATATAAGCATACTTTTGTAAATAATTCTACTGTTGTATTCTTTTCAAATTATTTGACAAAATTCATTTTGTTATTTTCCTATTTGACTTAAGGTTCATATCTGTTAGATACTGTAAAGCTACTTCTAGACGAAAGTCAGTAATAAAATATTAGATTAATGTGAATACTTGTAAACAGCAAGAATCCGTTTGATAAGTGATATTGCATGTACAAAAACCTCGACTTAAGGAGGGTGAAAGTCTTATCTTAACTTTGACTTTCGCACTTACATTTACACCCGTTACTTTTTATGAAAAATACAATATATATGTTACAAAATATCGATTGATACTTGTTCTAATTATATTTTAATAAAAGCCATTTTATCTGAAACGATTAAATATTTCAATATTCTTACAAATGATCGAATCGTACAAGAAGCTTCTTTGTAAAAATTTTCAAATAATGTGTTTAATCATTCTATATTTGTTTACAAGTTATGCGTCATCTATCATATCTAGTCTATTTAAACTCTATTAAAGACGAAACATGAAAAAATAAAGCTAAGAGTAAGAGATATGGTACTTTTTTCATTCAACGGATATGTAAAATATAGGCCATTTTGAAAATGGTTAACAAAATATATAAAGTAAGACGCTTCCAAGCCATTGAGAAAAAAATCCGACTGCAGTCTAGTTTGAAGCGTCAATATCAATAAAAATACTATGACTATGATTGTGAAGACGTAACATACGTGTATTTCATAATTGCTGAAAAAGTTTTCGATGCGTCAAATATAATTCGTGGAAAAAGTAAAGGAAAGAACAAGTGAAGCAAATGAACTTCAATTAAGCGTGTGGGTATGAAAGTACCAACATCGACACCAACGCATACCGGATAACAACATAGGCGCTTTTATCGTTTCATTTTCACTATGACTGCCACTTCTATTTGTTCTCCTTGGTTTCCGACTACATTGTAGTAAAATCAAATTGGGTGACAGTCTGTGTGAAAAGTAAAAATCAATCATCATAAAAGGAATTAATAGAGATTGGTATTCACTCTAATAATTCTGAGAGCCTTGCATGGATGGTATGTCTCTTGACTTCCAAATACGTTGTGGCTAATGCACAATATCGTGAGTGTCTATGTGAAAAGTACAGATAGTCAAGATAGATATGAGTGAAAACTACTGCTTATTGTGTTCTTTCTGAGAGCATTGGCTAGATGCTGTGCTTCTTAGTCTTCGATTTGATTTGAAGAGAAGTTCACTACGGTGAGCGTCTGCGTGAAAAATGGAAATAGTCAATCGAGATCTAAGCAGAAAATGCTGTTCACCGTGTTCTTTCTGAGAATCTTGCCGAGATGTTGCATCCCTTGTTCTCCTATATTATTTTTTGCGACATAAAGTTTCTTAAGTGTCTATGTGAAAAGTACTAATGGTTAAAAGACATATCAGTGGAGTACGATATTCATTGTATTGCTTCTTAGAGCATTACTGAGATGTTTTGCTCTGTGGTCTCTGATACTACTGTCGAACAAGTTCGAGTTTGGTGAGTGTCTATATGAAAAGTGTACGCGATCAAGCGCGAGATGACTACAGAATGGTATCGGCCGTGTTGTTTGCAAGGGCACTCGCAGGATGTTGTGGCCATTGTCTCTGATTCCTTTCTTACAAAGGTCGAATGTGCTGATTGTCTGCGTAGAAAGCTTGGATATCCAAGAGAGAGATGAGTAAAGAGTAATGTCAATTGTATTATTTGCCACTGTGGTAGCGAGATGTGCCATCCCTCGATCTCCAATTGGACTGCCAGAAAGATCCAATGTGGTGAGTCTCTGCGGAAAAATTGCAATTGGTCACAAGAAAGAGTAGTAGAGAATAATATTTACCGTGTTTTGGATGAGGGCATTAACAAAATATTGTGCCGAGTCGTCTCTAATTTTCTTACCTTCAAGCAGAAGTATGGTAATTATCCGTGTGAAAAACGTACATGGCCACGAGACTGATGAGTAGTAAAATGTACTCACAGTGTTCTTGGTGAGGGCAGTGGCGATACGTTGCGCCCCTTGGCTTCTAATTTGATTACTAGAAAGATCTAGTGTGGTAAGTGTCTGTATGAATATTGAAGATCGTCGGGAGAGATAAGTAAAGAGTGATCTTTACCGTGTTCTTTACTAAAGCGGTGACGAAATGTTGTGCTCCAATCGGTCGTGTTTAATTGCCAGAAAGATCGAGTGTGATGAGTGTCTATCGGAAAAGTGTATGCGTAAAAGGGTGAGATGAATGATGATTAGTTTTCACCGTGTTGTTTATCAGAGCATCGACGATATGGAGTGTCGGATTTAATTGTCTTCAAGCTGGAAGATTATAAGTGTCTGTGTTAAAATTCCGGATGACCACAAGATGTACGGATATAGAATGGTGTTAACCGTATTAGTTTTAAGAGCATTGGCAAGATGTTTTAATCGTTGGTCTCCAATCTGACTACCACCAAGCTGGAGTGTGATGAGTGTCTGTTTGAGAAATACGCATGATCACAAGAGATGTGAGTAGAGGATAGTGTTTACCTTACAATCGTTTTTATCAAGATAATTTAGTTGCGGATCAATACGATCTTTCAGTTGGTTTTGATTTAGCTACACATCGTGGCTATGATTCTGATAATGAACGTTTTAGTGCTGATACTGGAATGGTTGGTGTTGTTATTGATACNTCACAGTGTTCTTGGTGAGGGCAGTGACGATACGTTGCGCCCCCCTTGGCTTCTAATTTCATTATCAGAAAGATCTAGTGTGGTAAGTGTCTGTATGAATATTGAAGATCGTAGGGAGAGATAAGTAAAGAGTGATCTTTACCGTGTTCTTTACTAAAGCGGTGACGAAATGTTGTGCTCCAATCGGTCCTGTTTAATTGCCAGAAAGATCGAGTGTGATGAGTGTCTATGGGAAAAGTGCATGCGTAAAAGGGTGAGATGAATGATGATTAGTTTTCACCGTGTTGTTTATCAGAGCATCGACGATATGGAGTGTCGGATTTAATTGTCTTTAAGCTGGAAGATTATAAGTGTCTGTGTTAAAATTCCGGATGACCACAAGATGTATGGATAGAGAATGGTGTTAACCGTATTAGTTTTAAGAGCATTGGTAAGATGTTTTAATCGTTGGTGTCCAATCTGATTGTCACCAAGCTGGAGTGTGATGAGTGTCTGTTTGAGAAGTACGCATGATCACAAGAGATATGAGTAGAGGATGGTGTTTACCTTACAATCGTTTTTATCAAGATAATTTAGTTGCAGATCAATACGATCTTTCAGTTGGTTTTGATTTAGCTACACATCGTGGCTATGATTCTGATAATGAACGTTTTAGTGCTGATACTGGAATGGTTGGTGTTGTTATTGATACTGTTGAAGATACGAAACAATTATTTGATTCAACTCTGTTTTCCTCCATTTCAGTCTTCAATGACAATGAATGGAGATCTTGTACCTGTTCTTGTTATGCATGCTGCATTTTCTGAATGGACATGAAAAGGCTCAAACAGGAATTATGATTAGAGTGTTTAAAAGAGTTTTCAGAAATTCTTGTATGTCTGGAAGCGGTGACAGAACATTGTTAATGAAAGCTATTTATAGTAATCCCTTTCTTTTCCTCCCTCTTTCCAGCACTAAAAGACTGATAATAGAAGTCCCACAGAAAGCGCGAGACACCTGACATAACAGAAGACGCCTTTACTTAATTATTTGATTTTGCGCCAAATTTCAACTTTAATTAGTATACAAGGTGATCAAAACGTAACATGACAAATAGTTTTTTTTAATTTTCTTATGAACATAATAAGTTAGATCTCATATTCATACTGCGTAAACTAGGCCACATCATTCAAAGATGCAGTATATGATTCGAATCTAGCTTTTGTAGCTGGTTCAAAAGCGTATAAATAATACGAAGCTTGTCAATTGAATCATGTTGACGAGTTTGCCAATCAGAACCTGAGCAATTGCACCTTTGCAAAGACTTAGAGGTTGGATACATTGAGCAATTTTTATGAAAAATTTCGCTATTAAAAATACTTCACAAATACGTATTATTGTGTGTGTGCCATTTTCTAGTTCTATTGCTTTAATAAACGTTTTTTTAGAACTCACTACTTGTTTGCTTACTTTTGGTCGCTCTATATTTGTACGCTTTTAAACAAATTACTATACTTAAATACTGATCATTATTGCGTATTTGAATTATGTCACCTAGTATATGAGGTATAAATACAAGATCTAACTTACTATGTTCAAAAACAGTCGAAAAAAATATTTGTTATGTAACTTTTGGGTTATCCTGTATTTACATCAAAATGAGTCGTTTTTAAGATTTTCAGTTGCAAAAATCTCAACTTAAATTCTCAAAATCGTTTTTTTTTATTTGAAAAACTCTTTTAATTAACATTTATGAAAACACATGACACACAATACACCATCGGGAATTTTCAATTATGTGAGGTAGAGAATGTTAAAATATATTAAATTACTGTACGAGAAAAGCTTACTAGATCTTAATAATGTATATGAAGCTTGATTTCAAATGTTGACAGATGGTCACATCAGAAAATTTCTTTTCTTCTCCAGCAATATGACTTTCATTTTAATTCAATAGTCAATAAAATAAACATTAACAACAATATTTTTAAGATACTGCTTGAAAATCGTGTTAAAATAAACATGAGCATTGATAATAATATAAAAATGATTTCAAAGAAAATTTTATGAAATATTTTTTTTTGAATAATATAAGAAAAATGCATTGAGATATTTCAATTGAAGGCGATCATTGTGAAGAACTATTGTATATGAAACAAAACTTGAATGAGAATCGAATTTAAGAATTAAAAACTCATGTAAACTTCGTGAACACTTGTAGAACCACTGATGTTCTTTTTCCGACTGAGTTTTTTGAACAACCGATATGATTTACTTCAATCGGTCGCAATGCTGAAAAATGGTGAAATAACATAGAAATGTCCAGATAATAACAAACAATTCATTGAAGGTCAAGAAACATTAAATATTACTATAAATATGAATGTTTAAGGAACTCTTCTAATTGAGTATAAAGTCTTATACAAGGGTAAATAGGTAACCACTTTAAAAAGCTTCCCATATTCCTATATAATTTTTCCTTATTTTGGAGCTTCTGTCTGCTGCAGTTTTCATTTTTCTACAATAACTTTAGTTTTCGTCTTTTTGTAACATTTTGATAAATTCAAAATGTGAATGTTAACATTCAATAACCGTTTGTCCGCGAGATCATCTACAAATCAATTTCATGTGATAAATCTTTTATCTTTCATATGCTACTCGACCTTCACGAGATGCTATATGTAATTGAATCAAATGTCTGTAAATTGAGGTTTGCGGAAAGTGAAATAGAAACGACGTTTTTCTCAAACAAAAGACTAATTGTTAACATCATCCAATGGTCCCTCTCTCTATTCAATAATTAAATTATTAAAAGATATGATGTTCATTGAAATTTGTTAATTTCATCAAATCTGAAATCTTATTTTCAAACTTCTATTCAATTGTTGAAATATATTTATTGATTTTTATTATTGTTGTTATTGTATTAATTAAATCATCAAAAAACAAAATTCAAAGGAATGAAAATAATATAAAAAAATCGAATTATTGCAATTGATTGTTTTCTTTTACATGCATTGAAAGAAGCTTTGTTGAAATAACAGCTGAAATTACAAAGAATATATGCTTTGTCTTTGTCTGCACTATGTGACAGTATATATGAGATGAACAAAGAAGGTCATATTTTTCTTATTTTGCTGCATTTTTATTTTTTCCTTTCTTTTTAATGCTACTTGTTTACTTGCAAATTAAATATTAAAAGCATCTCAATGGTTACTTAGAAACTATAATAAAAATGAATAATGCAACAACAAAAAAATAAACCTCTTTTGAATAAGATTTTGACAATAATTTCTCATTCATTGATAATAAACATGAAGTAAAAAATAAATTTATCTGATATCATCATTTGAATTGAAGAAAAATTGAATTGTAAATTAACTAAATTGTAAGCATAGTCGTCTTTTTAACATAATTCTGATAGTATGCATAAAAAAAGTAAATGAATTTTAAAAAAGAATGATTTATTGATTTTAATTTTGGTATTGACGAGCTTTATAGTCATACAAAACTTTTGTGGAATCTTTATTTTTTTTACTATTTGAAAAATGAAAGGAAAAAAAAAGTTTTTTTAATTAGAGAAATGAGTTCCAATAGAAATTTTCTTGTTTACAAATAATTCTTAACAGATCTCAAACGAGATAATAAATAAATATTGGATAAAGTTTTTCAAATAAATGAATTCATAATCAATCATTTAATCTTTACCTTCATATAAAACTTCTAGTGTTCTGTAAATATGTAATAAAATATTACGAAAAAATAAAAACCTTTTTTTCTTCTTTGTGAATTCTTTCTTTGATCGAAATACTTGTAAGGGATTCATTCGAACCAATTGCTATTTCTTTTCTTCTTTGTCTTATATAAATCATATCCATATGACTTATACACATATAAAAAAAAAAGAAGAAGAAAGGTCAACAGGTATACTTTTAAAAGAAATATTTCATTCAATGTTGTAAACTGAATAGAAAATAAATATTCTTTTTCAAACAATCTTCACGAATAGACGTCTGATTTTTAAAATGTTTGTTGCATTTAAATAAAACTTAAATATTTAGATTAGAAAAAAACCATTTTCAATTTGTTTTTTAATGTTACTATAACAACAATCGACAGCTCACACTTACAAAAAAAAATTGATTAGACATACTTTCTTAGGTACTATTTTAATGATTTTTCTAAGTTTAGAATACATGGTAGACAAGAAAAAAAGTCTATATGTCAATAATAAAAGTTTCCTTACAAAAATTGAATTGTTGTTTTAACGTGCAACTACTTTTTTTTTTCTTTTTTTTTAATGTTATTTTTTAACCTAGGCATTTGTTAGATAAGCAGAAATATAAATTTTTCTGACCTGTAGATGTTTGTTAAATAAAAAGCACAAAAAAAAAAAAGAAAGAGTTTTATAATTCTTTGTTCAAAGTACAGTGTAGAAATAATATAATGACCTGTTTTCTTTCTTTCATATGTTGAATTGAAATTTGTATTAATGTCAAGTTGTAGACATTGTACTTTGATTTTTATACATGTTTTATGTTTTAATGAAAAAAGAATAAAACATCTATATTTTTATACATATTTTAAACATTTACTCTTGAACTGGCAGATTTTTATCTTTAGTCTTTAGATGTAAACGACAAAGAAGGAGAAAGATGATAAACAACAGTCATTTGCTCACACACATGTTGCTCTTACCATACATCTCACCTTTCGGCTTTTTTCTACTTTTTTCTACCGATTCTTTTTTTCATATGTTTGACGACATCGACAACGACTGAAGAGAAAAAAAATGCCGTGTTTTTTCATTTTGACTAGAATTTCTTTCGCTTTCTTATAGACACATATATACATTCACTTTAACATCTATACTCACATACATATCTTAAATCATCATCATTGCAAGAACAACAAATTCAAGTTGCCGATGGCAGTTCACTTACCCGCTGAAGCAAAAAGAGAACAGTCATTGTAAAAGAGAAATAACAGCTGTTTTATTCGCCGTTCATCGTATGATGAAGGTAAGCTTCTTCTTCTTTTTTTTTTGTATTTCTTATTGAACAATATAAGAAAGTTTGACATCTAATTAGTAATAGTTTTCTCAACTCTCGATACGTGTTGCATGGCAATATTAAAATTTTCTTCCAATTTCTTCTTCTTCATATTCACCTATTTTTTTCCCGTTAACGAATGCATTTTGAAGGATTGCCTTTTCTGTCTATATAAACTGACAGGAGCAAACATACGCATAGACGTTCTAATAATGAATCACGTTATTTGATCAATGCCACAATAATATAAAATTAAAATGCATTTTATTCTGTCGGCCGTTGTTAATCAATTTCAAATATAAATATAACTTACTAAAACCGCCATTCATTCTCGAAACTCAGGAAATAGAAATGATGGTTTCCGTGAGCTTAAAAAGGAAACATAGAGATTATTCTCTCTACTTTTTTTTTCTTTTTTTTTTCATTTCCTGACAGAACGACACGGTGGTAATACAACAACATCAACCAGTACCAACTGATTCTCTAGTCAAACCGTCTATGTCAAGAACACTTGTTTATCGAACTAATAAAGAATTTGATAAATGTGCCGAACTCTTACGTAATATTCTTAGTGTTCAAGGTAAGAGAAATAAATCTTTCTTTTTCTTTTTTGTATAAGAAAAAGAATTCGTATAAAACAAAGAATTACGTCGAAACTCGAAATCATCCCTTATCGGTGAAATAAATCGAAAAAATCAACAACAATCTCAAATAAATACACGACTAAAAAAACAAAATACTAAACCAACTGTTACGAAATCATCGTTCATTAAAACAAGTATATTA